TAGGGAAAGTATTTACAAAAATGAATTTTTGTGTTCTTGTAGAATACAAAAATCACAAGTAACTCTCCTACAATGGAGCTTCCACTAAGTAAAAGGAAACTAAAAATGGTGGGGAAGAAAAGGGATGGATGTCCCACTCTTATGGAGGGGATAAGCAAGAGGTGTTAATTTCGCCATAAGGAGAAATTCCTTGATAAAAGATCTTTAGAAAAGATTTCTCCAAGGAACAAAACTAAGACTTTTGAAGGAGAAAAACCTAAAGTTTTATCTCATATATTCATCAAAAGTGATCAGACATGTACAAAGAAAAGATATATATAGAGTTTGGTTGGCTTATAGTGCAAGCTAGACTAACTATGGTTAAATGTAACCAAGGTTAGTTATCTAGTACTTAAGCTAACCAACTCTAGTTAAATATCTAGAAGTTTATAGAGCAAGCTAAATTAATCCTAGTTTAAGAATAACCTATATTAGCTTAAGTTAACTCCAACTACCTAACATAATTATTACAATTAACTTACTAATGATTACTATTATACAAGTTGATGAAATGTCACTATCAAAAGCCATGTGACAAAATTAACCACTTGGATTACATAACTACGATGGTTTTGATGTCCAAAACACTTACTAAAGCAAATGGACATCCAAGCCCATGGTAAAAATGGATCTTGGCCCATCTAGGTCCAATAAGGTCACCATGACTTTATTTAGTTGCATCTCTCTTAAACTACTAATTACACCCTAAAAAAAATAATATAAGGACAAAATTTCCTATACTTATTAAACAAAATACAAGGTTAAAATAAAGGAAAATTTTACAAATAAAAATACACACATAGAAGAAAAAGTAAGTTACTAAAATTACCTAAAGCTCAATAGAGCTTAGGCTTTTTTCCTTTGAGCCTAGCTCACTCCTCTTGGTTCCTTTTGGATTTGGTCCCTAGGCATGATGACATCAAATATTCAAAAATGGAAAAGCAAATTTAAACATGTTGTTAGGAATGGAAAGATATATTTTTGATAAAGTTGGAATTGGTTTCAATTCAATTAACAAAAATGTGCTTTATAAAAATACCACCAACTTTGTTAAGAATTATTCTAGGCCACCTATTACACGTTTCTATTGTTGTAAAAGAGGTCATACCATTAAAAATTTCTATACAAGAAAATATGGTATTCCTAGTGGTAGATATGCTTAATGATATGATATATTTCATAAACATTACATATAGAAATTAAAATCTGAATTTGATTTAACAAGTAGTCTCAACTAAACATCTTACATATAGTAGTGAATCAATATAATTCATTGAAAACTTTAGAAAATTTTTTGTCCAAAAAATTTAGAAAGAATTTTCGTAAAATCTAATTTACCCCTCATTTGGATCAACCATCTTTCTAACAATTGTCTTTTGTCCTAAATAATTATCCTTAACATATACTAAATTTTATTTTAGATTATCATAAAGATGTCTTCATAAAAATTGTAGATATCTCTGCCCTTGACCATTAGGAATTAGTTTCATGTTATTTGGATCTTTGTAGCACAAGATATTTCCAAAATATTGTAGCAACATCATGTTGTTGTAAACACATTAGTGTTTCCATATTGCACACATAATTTGTCCATGATAGAGACCTTATCAACCTACAACTTCATCAAAGTTGTAGACAATTTTTCTATCTTTCCATATCCACCAAGTTTGGCTAAAAATCATGTTTACAAGTTCAAATATACTCAAAATATTGCACTTTGTTAGTGTCGCAACTCAAAACAACATTTTCATCTTGATTGTCATATTTGTCCATGGTCTAGGCTTTTCTAGTGCACAAGTTTTTCATAAAGGTTGTAGTTAATTATTCTATCTTTCCATTGCCACAAATTTTGGCTCAAGATCATATCTACAACTCAAGATAAGTGCAAAATGCAACAACTATGTTTTGCAGTCAAGATCAACATCATATGCAACTTCTTTTGCAATTTCGCACATGTTTTAATCCATATAAGCTCTTGACTTCTTCATAAAGGATGTAGATATTTCTTTAGAATTTTCATAGCCACCAAGATCTCCTTAAAAGAATTCCTAGAGCTTAAGATATCACACAAATGGACTTTACAGTCTTCTAAAGGCTTTCACTTTTTTAATGCATAGTTGAGATTATGAGCCATTCTAAGTTGTGCCTTTTGAAGCTTAATTCTTATATTTATGTCATATTGAAACTATTTTATTTGGCATAATCTAGTTCTTTCTCGCCACCTTCTAAGAGTTATTCTAAATCAATCTTGAGTTTACTTTAATTGATGTTTTGAATACACTAAGCAAACTCATCAATAACACAAATGTTCAGAAGGCTTATGACTTTTGTTCATAAGTTCTAGGGATATGTTTTTAATTATAGTTAACTTTTTTTTTTAATCGTGTTCCACCTAAATTGGGTAGATGCATCTGTGTGGGGAACCCTAAGAAAACTAAAGGGTACTGTTTCTATAATACCTATAACGATCAAGTCTTTTGATATTAGGATTGAAGTATTCCTTAAGAAGAAATAGATCTCTAAAAAAGCCAATGGTAGGAATGTAGAACTTGATGAGGGTCAAGTGCTACAAAGTGTTGATCTGCCTATAATAGAACATGAACTAGCATTGCAAGGTGTTGTAAGTAAACCACCGATTTAAGTAGCATAAGAGCCACTAGGTCTAACAGGCTACATCACCAACTTGAGAATTATGGACTTTTAATGACTTAAGAAGGTGATATGTTGCTTATGGATCAACATGAGCTTGTGAATTACCAGGAGGTCCTTATTAGGCTAAATTTGAGAAGTGGCTTGAGGCCATCGAATTTGAGATGGTGATGGAATCATGCCAAGGAGGTCAAGAGGTGACACATTGAAAGATCCAAGAGGAATGAGCTAGACATGAAGATTTGATTATTTTAGAGCTTAGTGGGCCCGATGGGCTTGGTGGGCCTAAGTTGCTTTTCTCTTGGGCCACACTCTGACACACACTATTTATACATATTATATTAGTATAGAATTCATATATTTTGATCTTGTATTTTGGACCACTTAGATTAGGGTTTTTGGGCCATAGGCTTATTGGGTATGTTTTCGGGCTTAATGGACCTTGGGTATTTTGGTACCAATATTGGACTCATTTTGCTTCTTTTATTATTTCTTAGTGTTTGGTATAGTTTGACCATTGTATTTAGGCCATTAGAGTAGGATTTGAGAGTAAAAGATTAATTAGGAAAAATTAGCAAATTTAAGTTACATTTAGGAGTAATTTGAGATGCATTTGGTTCACATGTGCTAACCTAAGGTTGGTAGCGCATGATCAGCCCCAATACATCTAAATTAACCCTAAGTGGCAAATTGCCAAAGACATATCAACCAAGAAGGCTACTAGATAGTTAGGTCTACTTCCCAACAAGAGTAGCTAAAGTAAAGCCTTCTTACTGGCATAACACCAAAAAAATCTCTCCAGAGGACTGAGCAAGCTCAAAGCATGATAATCCTTGGGCGGGTAATCGCCCAGCAAGAGGCCAGTACATCAAACACTTGAGGCATATAGATCTCCCCGATGACGTTGTTCGTCAAACGTTTGACATCGATTGTCATCTTCCCCAACAATATGGTTTTAGTTCCCTAGTGACATTATTTGTCAAAAATCCAAAAGGGATTATCATCTCCTTAGAGATTTATACCAAGTCTGAAGAGGCTTTAGGCAAATAATACTCAAGCATCGAAAGCATCCCTAGTGGGAATCAAGCCTAAGGAGGCTTTGTCAATAATACTTAATGGACAAAGCT